TGCTGGAAGGTCTCCCCGGAGCCTTCTCTTCTCCAGGCTGCACACCCCCAACTCTCTCAGCCTGTCCTCGCACGGGAGCTGCTCCAGCCCTCGCACCATCTCCGTGGCTCCTCTGGCCCCGCTCCAGCAGCTCCATGTCTTTCTTACGTTGGGGAAGGCAAAGAGCAGGTTGTGAGGGCTGGGCTCAGACTCCTGCGTGCTGGTGTGAGGGATGAGCAGAAGGCTCAGTTTTGCGGTTCTCCCTCTTCCCCAGGAGAATGGGAGGAAGAGCGCCCAGCCTCTCCTGCTGGGAACAAGCCAACACAGCAAATGTGCCCCAGGTTGCGCTGGGAGATTTCTGGTTGATGCTGTGACTGCAGCAGTGACATGGTGGCTGTAGCTTTCTGGACTGAGGCAGGGCTCCCTGTTTTGAACATTTTTTAAGCATCTGAGGGGCAGAATGAAACCGCGTCATTGTCCAAAGTGCAGGGGACTTCATTCCAGCAGCCCAGAAGACCCTGAAGCTCTGGTCCTCTTGGAGCAGCTCCCCAGAATGTTTCCCACTTGGGCCTCCCCCGCCCTCCCTTGGCTACCTACCACGAGGGGCCAGGGGATCATGTAGAACTTCAGCTGAAGCTGCAGGAGGTAAGTGACGAAGAAAAGGACTGTTAGTATCCAGAGGAAGATGGACACGAACATCACCCAGCCGTACGCCGCGTGGAGGTGGTACGTTGTGTCCGCGATGAGAGCCCACACCAGTAAGCCGAGCACCTGCGGGGTGACACGGGGGTGGTTCAGGGGATAGTTCCTGCGGGTGGAAAGCTGAACATCGCCCACCAGCCCAGGCTCTTCAGCACCCTCAGCAGTGGGGTCACCCTGGCTCCAGCAAAGCAGGGACACAGAGCAGGGCTGGGCACTGGGGACAGCTCAGCCCGGAGAACACTGGTGAGCCTCATTGCTCAGGGATGGGCTCATCCCCCGTACTGCGGGCCCAGGAGCTCGTACAGGGATGTCCCGCAGGGCAGGACAGGTGGCACCTGGGCATCCTCGTCACCAAAGGTGCCTTCTCCACCCAGAACTCCCCATGCCCAGGGCTGGTCTGTACAGGTGCTGGGTCAGTGTTAGGGACATCTCATGGGCTGGATGAGAGCTGGATGCAGGGGCTCCTGGGGCTGCAGCTCAGCCTTGACCTCTGCCTGGTGCAGTGCCATTTAAAAAAAAAAAAAAAATCTGTTTTGGTTTATACCTCCTGTGTGTATCCAGTGCTTAGGGCTCTCCATTCCCTGTTAACCAGGTTTAACTGCGTAGCAACTGTGTGTCTGCAGAGTGAGCCACAAAAAACCAGAGCCCCTGTTCCTGGGTCTGCTCAAGGAGAACTGAGCAGAGCCAGGGCAGAGCTGTTTTCTCCCCTCCCTGCAGCCCCTGGCACAGCCCTCGGCTCCCCGGCAGGCAGGGATGGAAGAGCCCAGCCCAGGGTGGCATTTCATTTATTCTTATTTTTCCTTTCCCTGTGCTGTGTCTGTTCCTGATCTTTGGACTCCAGAGGAGATGCTGCCCAACTTGACCCGCAGCAATGCAGCCAGGGAGCAGCTGCCTTCTCCAGCACCCCCTCACCGGGGAACTCCCTGGAGCAGCTGCAGCTGCAAGTTTGCAGGTATTTTTTTTTTATTTCCAAGGCCCCTAACCCGTGATGGATCAAGCACATAGCACATAGTGAGGGAGCCTGGAAAAAAAAAAAAGGCCACTACAAAGCAGATTGCACTTTCGGTGGTTTGCCTATTCTGCAGCCTCAAACGCAGCCGGTGCAGTGAGGCACAGCCGGCCGTGGGCTGGTGGGCTCTGCTTCCCCACCCTTCATCCCCTCCCAGTTGGACCAGAGTGAAGTTGGGAGCCCTCGCACTTGCCTTCCAGGGAGCAAGGAGGCTCCAGCCCTACACCCTCTGCGTTTCCCAGCACGACCGAATGTCCCGGGGAGATGCCTACAGCCAGGCTCGGGTGAGATCGTGCCCCAAATGCATCCGCGGCATCTTCTGTTCCCTAGCTGGGGTTGGGATCTCTGTGGGCAGAGCTAGTGAAGCCGCCAGCAGCGCCCGGCTCCCGCACTCACCTCTGCTTTGTCAGGGGAAGCATGGAGCCATCTCCCAGCGGTGGGGAGGAGAAGGGCTCTTTGGAAAGCTGCTCTGCCCCTGTGTAAGCCCACACTGCCCATTGTCACGGAAGAAACACAGCGGCTGTTGTCCTGCCCCAGTACAATGTGCGAGTACAACGCCCTGGTGCTCGGCTGCCCTGACAATGCCTCCTTGTCTGTGACATCCATTTCTAGCGCTCGTGACTGCAAAATGTGTGATGGGGAGAAACATGGGGAGGAAAAAGCCTGGTGCACTCCAGGAGCTGGAGGCAGCATGTGCGAGCTGCCCTGTTTCATCTCTGGGGGGAAGAAAAACAGGAGCCCTCAGGAGAGAGGTTCTGGGGAGCAGTGGGTCTCAGTGGACAGGAGCTGGGCAAGCGTGTCTAATGGTCTGGCCCGAGCAACGGGCTGGAGAGGTGGGACCAGGTGCAGGGTTAAAGGGTTCCTTCTGCTGATCTTGGCTCCATTCTCTTCCCTGATGCTCCTGCAAGACAGCCTCCGCCAACATCCTTCCCTGAGCATCTGTTCCTGTGTCACAACCAGCTCAGCCATGGCCAGGGGTCGAAACCTGGAGCAGGGACCCTACAGGTGCTTGTTAAAGGAAGAAAGTTACAGCTCCATGAGCCTCTCCCATGGGTGAAGATTTGCAGCCATTGCAAATGAGCCCCTAATTACAAATCCTTTGCTTTCTGCTCTTAAGACTCTCAGCTGCAAGCTAAAGCATCTCAGTCCACACTGGTGTTTCGTAGTGGCTGCCCAGGACGTGTCCTGCTGCCACCCCCCGCAGCACTGCCCCGGGGTGAGGGGACAAGCAAAGGGTCCCCAGGGCAGCAGGGCAGCAGGGCAGCACCCTGGGCACGCACTGGGGCAGGTCACATGTGGCCCCGTGTGAACACGCTCTCCTAAACACACACGGTGCACCTGAGGGCCCGGGAGAGAGTGGCAGCAGCATGAGATCCATCTGCAGCTGCCTCCCGTGCCAAAGCAATGGGGAGGTGATGCTGCTGCTCGGTTTGTCAGCGCAAAGGTCCTCAGGCTTGTCCGAAAGCGGGGACAGCCGGGGAGGGAGGACAGCCCGGAGGACTGGGAGTGCAAGAGCCTTGCAGGCACCCCGGGAGCAGCCCCACCACGCCTCGTGTGGGGTCACCACGCTTCA